CTTTTGTATTTTTCATCACTTCCCAATGTGTCCCTGAGGAAGGCGGGGAGAGCCTCTTCTGTCCATGCGCCACAGCTTTAATGTCAGCTGCTGAACTTGCTCATTAAACCTCGCTTGATTATTTTAGACCTAGGGGAGGAATTCCTGCAGCAGTGTGTGTTTTGTGCATGAAAAAAGAGCTTTGGATCGATCATATTTCATGTGGTGTTGCTGCAGTGCACCACATGGTAGAATATCCTCTGATCAAACTGTTTCGTGGTCTTTCACCAATCAAATCTTTTATGATGCAAACACTAACAAATTTGTCAGGTGCATGTGCATAATATCTCACCCATACAATACTGCCGGCGTCAACTTCACAGGTGACCTTTTGTGCCTGTAGTTGTTTGGACTTGCAGATTGTTTGATGCTCTAACCACCCTGAATTAAGCACTACTCCAACATCAAGGTGCTGTGTTTAGCTAGATGAAAGCCGAGGGGGCTGCACGGCGGGTAATGCATTAAGCAGGCAGGTATTCAGAGCCACAGGCGAGGCAGCTGGGGAGAAGGACTAGGTGTGATGAAAGCGGGATTAGCATGGATTCATCATCTCGCTCTATCACAGAAAAGCCATGAGTGCTACATGAAGCGACTCTGCGATTGTCAGGAGATAAGCTCAACAGGTTTGCTTGTTAAAGTAGCACAAAGTACCTTTTATATCTGACAAAACGTCAAATGATCAGCAATGGACTTATTGTATATTTTAGGTCCCAACCCATAAAGCCACTGACTTGAAGGGGCTTTAGGGTGATTCTGCTGATGGTTGGTGACAGGAGGCCACACAGAAACCTAGCATTGCACCAACAGCAGCAAGAAAGAAGAAGACGACGAGCTGGAAAACATGTAAACAAGGTGTAAAGTAGTAAAAACACTTGTCTTTGCAAATGTTTTATGAGGAATGAGGTTTGTTTTAGCTCAAGGATAAACACAGTGGACCTCATACAAGAACATTTTTGTATTATCTTATCTTTTTTTCTGTGAACTAACCAAAATAACTGTTCTAACTTGTGTGTTCATTTAGGATATCTGATGTGTACATTAAGTGAAATATTCAAATCTCAGACTCTTTCATCAAATATCGATATTTGGGAATTTTGAGACCCCCCCCATTAGAAATTAAAATATAGTTCTGTGTGTTTGAACAGTGTTAGACTGCACAGCACAGGTTTAATAATGATTTTACCACCTAGCTCAATACTGCACGATGCTTGCTCTCCTGTGTCGCTGAATCTAAACCTCCAGCTAAAGAACCGCTTTGAAGCGCGCCGACACGCCAGAGTACAATTTTGTCAAGGAGTGATTTTCCACCAGCTGCCGTCCCAGTTAGAAAGAGGCTTGTGACTGTAATTCTGCAGAACCAAATCGTTACTGATGCCTCTTAGCGTGTCAGTCAATTATCTGTGCACGGTGAGACTTGTTTGAAAATCAATCGTTGGTTATCTTTTTGCCCTTTTCTGCGTGAAGAACTTGAACCTCGTCAGTAGAGTCACGAGTCAGAGCGCTGCCGCCTCTCCTCCCTGTTTCTGTTTTATTTTATTTCTTTATTTTTCTTATCTTATTTTTCTCCAATGTCAAACACTTGGTCTGACTTGACAAAAGATGATGGTGGTTATTGCTCAGTGAAGAAGATGAGTTGAGTATTTTAGAGAGAGCCTGAGGCGGTGGTCAGACACACGGAGCGGAAGCAATAACAACATAATGCAATCCAATAAAACATCTCTGCAATGAATTCAACCTTTGTGAAGGAAATACCAGGAACACTAGGGCTGCCCCCCTTAGTCGATTAGTAGAGAAGTCTCAGTTCACTTAGATCTCTTAGTCCATTAATCTTATTTTATGCTTTTTTTTCATGCTGAACTACCTTTTTCCAAGAAAGTTATGAGCACATCTCTAATAAACATAAGATTTATTTTGTGGAAAAACTCAGTTTTACAGATCCGTAGATTAATAAATCATCTAATCTAAATCGACAAAATCCTATGAGTGTTAGTTGAATAAGATGTCTTTGTTTAAGGGACAGCCCTTGTCTTTGTGCTAATAAATACACTGCAGTCCAGCACCACAACTGTGAACATTACCAGTAATATTTGTTGCAGGGTCATTTTATTGGATTGCTGTTTCTGGTCCACCTCCTTAAATACATTTTACATTAGCAGTTTTATGATTTAAAAGCTTAAAAAGCTCCTCGGCCTCTTCAAGGTTAAGTGGATGTTTATGCACCATTAAAAGCCGAGCGCAAGTGGTAAAAGCACAAATTGTGTCATCTTGAACTGAAGGATCTTGTGGTGCAGTAAGGACCGCAAGACATTTTTTTTTTCGGGCACAATAATGATAATCATAATAATCCTAGAACTTTATTTGAATCCATAAATCGTCTTAGAAAGCTGCTGCCTTCTGCTCAGACTCTGAGCTTTAAAAGTTCTGTGTTAAAGCACTAAACTAATTAATGGAATTAGAGTATAGCATCAAATCAAATGACTCATAGTATGAGAGGGTTGCTCGCACTTTTTTGTGAGCACAATAAGAACCAAGACCCGCCTCTCGAGGTCTTTATGGGCCAGGTTTGCAGCTTCATGAGGGTAAACGTCAAGTCACAGGGTTATCAAGCAGACAAGAGCTCTTTATTGAAGCGGAGACGTCTTCGCTAGAAGTCAGATATTACATCCTTGTAGCTGTCTGGTGCCACTGGGCAGCGCTCCAATCTGCTGCTTGTGAAAGTATCGATCGCCTGGATCTCATTCAAAGTCTAAAAAATTCAGAGACACACACGCACACACACACACACACACACACACACACACACACACACACACACACACACACACACACACACACACAGTTTTCTGTCAGCATTGGAAGCTCTTACTCTAGAAAATACCACAAAAGTAATCCAGAACCACATCTTTACTAACATAGTGAAAGAAAACTATTGTCCCTCCTGTTAGCTAATTAACCTACATTTAAAGAAGATATCATAAAAAAGCAGCTCTTATTTACAGCAGACATTTTGACTTGTCATTGTAGGAAAACAGGTGTTACTTATAACACTATTGATGGGTATGGGACAGTATATATGTCAGTGAGCAGCATCAGCATCTGTCTAACAGTATATGTGAGTACGCTGCCCAATAAAAAAACATATAAATCACAAAAAGAGCTTGTTTGGAGTAAAAGTCTGCAGACTCTTGTCATACATTGAATGATTCATAGTCTCTGCTCTTGATATTGACAGACATATGTAATATATAACCTTGACATAGATTTAAAAAATGTCTTGCAGTGCACAAACGATGTACTGTTTTTTTTTTTCTGCTTTTCTTTGACTCGACCAGCCTGAGGTCCAAATAAATAAATAAATCTTTGCATGTGCACACATTCACAATCAGCAGCAGCCCAATCACAGCAGCAGCAGACAGACTCATCCATCTTTATCACTGCAGCAACACGCACGTAAGAATTGGCAGTCAGCGCGCACACGCATGCATGCATGCACGCACGCACACACGCACGCACACACACACACACGCACATTTTTCTCCCCGTCCTTCCATCTTTCTGTCTTCATTCTCGAATGTTCTCCCTTTCTCTCCTCGTCTGCTGCATACACTTCACATGAAAGACGGTTCAGGGCTGACGGGACATTTATGAGACAGACTTTTTCTTTATGGTATAGGTGAAAAGTGCAGTGACCTCAGCTTATACAATGTGGTGATGTATTGAAAGAGGCCAGCTGCAGGTTGTCTAACTGAAACCGACACAGCGATCCATTTTGCTGCAGCTGCTGGCGACTTTTGATTGTATCTGCAGGGAAATGTCAGTAGGCAGTGAGCTGTATTTGGCAGGACGGTTTGTGGGTGTTAGTTGTCTCGTCATGAGCTCTGTGTTTTGACGATTGGTGGACTGTGAATATGAGCGGTGATTGGCTGAGTGAGCCTGTGGATGTAACCAGGGGGGAGTTTTTTGAAAGCTGACACACTTATGTTGCTTTAACTTCAACCAGAGGTGATCATAGGCTGATAACATCTTTGTGTGTGTTTGATCTCATGTACACTATGCTATGTTTCCCACTTATCTTGACAGGGACAAAGTGTCGACTGAGTCAGCGCTGCTGTCAATTGGTGACACACACGGTGACACACACGGTGACACACACGGTGACACACACACACACACACACACACACACACACACACACACACACACA